ACACACACACACCCAACCCCACCACCACCCCTCGGCTGAGATCCAGGCTTGGCCCACTGAACTCCCTGGTGGTGGAACTTGCTAGACATCCACCCTCTGGGCTGGAAAACCACCTGGGAGGATGCTGGGAAAAGTTCTTCACAGAAAGAGGCATTTCACTGGAGGCACTGGGCTATGAAAGCACACAAGGGGGTAGGTGCTGGGGGAAGCTGCTGGCTGCTAGGTGCTGCTGGTCCCCCTGCACAGGAGGAGCCTGGTGCTGGAGAAGCCATGCTCAGACGCTGGGCCTGGGGCAGCCACACATGCCTCAGGGAGCACTGAAGCCAGGAAGGAAAACCTTTCCCCTCCCAGTGTCTCTACAAAAACTTGCCTGAGGAAGCTTAACATCCTGCCAGTGGGCAAAGGAAAAAAATGTAATGGTCCGGATCCATTTTCACAGAGTAGGCAAAAAGGATGAATTGGAGCTGAGAGACAATAACCAGCACGCTTTCTCAAAAAGGTTTCATGTGTTAAGATTATAGTTTTCTTCATCTAGTGGTTCCCAAAGCCAAAAGGAGGAGGGGGACTAAAAGTAGGCCTTGAAATTCAGGGGCAATGTATCCAGGGTGAGGCCTAGAAATCTGAGGGTTTAAAAAAAAAAAGTTTATATATTGATTTGAGAGAGAGAAAACATTGATTTGTATTTCCCTGTTTATGCATTCATTGGTTGATTCTTATATGTGCCCTGACCAGGGATCAAACCTGCAACTTTGGTGTATTGGGACAGTGCTCTAGCCAACTAAGCTACCCAATCAGGGCTAGAAATATGATGTTTTTTGGTGTGTGTGTGTGTGTGTGTGTGTGTGTGTGTGTGTTTAATTGATTTGAGAGAGAGAGAAAGAGAGAGAGAGAGAGAGATTGATTTGTTCTATATATTTATTCATTGGTTGATTCTTTTTTAAAAATAATAACTTTTAAAAAATATATTTTTATTGAGGAAGAGAGAGGGAGAGAAAGATGGAAACATCCATGATGAGAGAGAATCATCGATTGGCTGCCTCCTGCATGCCCCCCAATGGGGATTGAGCCCACAACCCCAGCATGTGCCCTGACGTGGAATCCAGCCATAACCTCCTGGTTCATAGGTCGACACTCAACCACTGAGCCATGCCGGTCGGGCAATGGTTGATTCTTGTATGTGCCCTGACTGGGGATTGCACCTGTAACCTTGGCATATCGAGACGGTGCTCTAACCAACGGAGCTGCCCAGCAAGGGCTCAATCTGAGTTTTTATAAGCTCTCCATGCACTCTGTTGGTGGAGGATTCTTTGAAACTACATAGACTGAGCCCCTTCGGCAGAATCCTTGGATATTCCAAGGACAGAACCACCTTGGGTGTGTGTGTGTGTGTGTCTGAAGTTCCAAATGTTGGCCTGTTTCTCTGGAAGTGTCCTATAGCACCTGCCTCCATCTGTCTTCACCCATGGCTGTTGTTTCATTTTCCCAGCTCTCTGTGTCTGCCTCTCAGTCTGAATATCTCCACCTCTCAACCCATGCTCACACTTGTCTTCCAAGGTTTGTACTTGCTATTTTGCCTGCCTCCCTCCTTCCCAAATTTCTCATCTCTTTTCATCATGCAGGGCCTCATAATGAGTTACCCCAAGATGAGCCTCTTTGATATGTAGGTTATTTTCTGCTAAAGACAACCGAGTCCTGTTACACTCAAGAGAAACTTCTGTGCCCCCGCCCCCCACTACCTAGAACAGGGGTGGGCAAACTTTTTGACTCGAGGGCCACAATGGATTCTTAAACTGGACCGGAGGGCCGGAACAAAAGCATGGATGGAGTGTTTGTGTGAACTAATAAAAATTCAAAGTAAACATCATTA